TTCAACCCCGGGCTGGGGCGGAAGTGGGTATCCATGTAAAAGTGAATTTCTTTGTGCTTTCTATATTAATATTTCTTCACTTAGGGCAGTTATATTAGTTTAAGAGTTGTTGTAAATTGTGCTTTATAAATGAATTAATTTAATCACAACATGTATTGGTAACAATCCTCTAAAAACTAATGTACAAATAACTGTATCTCACTTCTATTCTCAATGACCGTGTAGTGTAAGACAGCGTTGTGAGAATTCCATCGGCATCGAAAGCAAGTTTTTTAACTTGTCTAGATAGCCGAGCGGTCTAACGCGCTGTTCCTGCACTGCTAGGAGACAGATTCCGTAGGTCGAGAGTTCAACCCCGGGCTGGGGCGGAAGTGGGTATCCATGTAAAAGTGAATTTCTATGTGCTTTCTATATTAATATTTCTTCACTTAGGGCAGTTATATTAGTTTAAGAGTTGTTGTAAATTGTGCTTTATAAATGAATTAATTTAATCACAACATGTATTGGTAACAATCCTCAAAAAACTAATGTACAAATAACTGTATCTCACTTCTATTCTCAATGACCGTGTAGTGTAAGACAGCGTTGTGAGAATTCCATCGGCATCGAAAGCAAGTTTTTTAACTTGTCTAGATAGCCGAGCGGTCTAACGCGCTGTTCCTGCACTGCTAGGAGACAGATTCCGTAGGTCGAGAGTTCAACCCCGGGCTGGGGCGGAAGTGGGTATCCATGTAAAAGTGAATTTCTTTGTGCTTTCTATATATATATATATATATATATATATATATATCCCGAGACAATCCCGAGGGACGGACCCATACAAACTCCTGACGTCTGCCCAGTGCTCAATACATCTAGTGTTCCTCTCTCCGAATCAGAGACCTCACTTCTTTCAAAGGGGCTAAATTTCTGCCCCACGCCACATGAGGTCGACTACAAACAAGTCAGAGAGGACACCCGAACATTCTTTCGGAGACTTCGCTTGAAGGAGCACTTCTTTAGAAAAGACTCCGAAGGAAATTCACACGACTCTTCCAAGCCAGGTTTACAGGACCTAGAAGAACACAAACTCTATAAGCCAAAGAGTGCCTGGGAACCTACACCTGGTAAGTGCGACGCGCTTGAGTCGTATATTGATGCCGTTGAGTCAGACGTAGAGAAGCTCCTTTCAATGCCAAACAAAACTCCCGACAATTTGAGTAAGGAGGAGAAATCTGCCTTACAATCATTAAAAAAATCGGGATGACATTGTAATTAAGAAAGCAGACAAAGGCTCTACAGTTGTAGTAACGGATAAAGAGACTTACATGGCGGAGGCCCAAAGACAACTCTCAGACGAACGTTTCTATAAGAAACTGGACTCTGACCCTACTAAAGAATTCTCAACCGCCATTACCAAAACTCTGGACGATATGTTTGAGAAAAATGAGATTGGTATCAACGTCTTTGAGACCTTAAATCCTATTTTCTGTAGACCAGGACAATTCTATCTGCTTCCTAAAATACACAAAGAAGGCATGCCAGGTCGCCCCATAGTCAGCGCAATTGGACACCCCACGGAGAAAATTTCTGAATTCATTGATTTACATCTCCGTCCACACGTAGAAAATTTGCCATCCTATCTTAAGGACACTACGGACTACATTAACCAGACGCCCTCTACGGGCCTCCCAAATCATACCCTCCTCGTGACTATGGACGTCACATCTTTTTACAACAATATTCTGCACGATGAGGATATCGAAGCCTGTAGAGAAGTCTGGGATAGTAGGTCAATTCAAGTTCCTTCTACGGAGTCCCTTGCTAAGCTCCTTGAACATGTTCTCAAGTTCAACAACTTCATGTTTAATGGAGAACATTACCTGCAAGTTAATGGCACTGCTATGGGTACGAAAATGGCACCGTCCTATGCCAATGTCTTCATGGGCAGACTGGAACGCAACTTGTTAGTTCAAACACCATTTAGGCCTCATATCTGGTTGCGTTTCATTGACGATATTGAGATGAAATAGGTGGATTGTCGCGAGAATCTCGAGGCATTCATTGCGTTTGCAAACACCTTTCATCAGTCGATCAAATTTACAGTAGACGTATCTAATTCGAAAAACGTATTCCTAGATACTACATCTACCCTGATTGATGGTGAAAGTGAAATTCAGTCTCCACACCAAACCCACAGTCTCCCACCTATATGCCCACTAGCTGTCATCCCCCACACAATTTTATGGGAGTGCCTAAGGGTCTAGCCACCAGAATTTGACGCATCTGTTCGTCCACTGCCTTATATCAGGAGCGCAAAATGATCTTCTTAAGTCCCACTTATGCAAAAGAGGCTACAATGCCCGCACCGTACAAACAGCTATTGATGAGATGGTGGAACATGACAGACAAAACCTATTACGCTACAAGGAAAAAGACAATAGCGACAGGGTCCCTCTGGTAACCACATACCATCCCGTCCGCAAGAACCTTAGCGGTATCCTTGAAAAGAACCTACCAATCCTCCATTCAAACAAACGAATGGCAGAGGTCTTTAAGGAACCCCCATTGGCTGCATACAAGGAATCTAAAGGACATGGTAGTAAGAACCAGACTGGACAACCCATTACCTAAAGGGGGCTTTAAATCTTGCTCTGTCGGGAGATGTCTTCTTTGTAAGCACAGCACTGACACAGACAGTTTTAACAGCCCTGTTACAGACCGCAGCTACAAAATACTAGGGAATTTGTCCTGTCATACTGACAACTGCATTTATCTCATCACTTGCAAAGTTTGCTCCAAACAGTATGTTGGTGAAACAGGAGATCTCCGTAGGAGAGTCAATAGCCACCGTTCGACCATTAGGACCAAAAAAGTCAATGAACCCGTTGTGGAACATTTCAACCTTGAGGGTCACAAATGGGAGGACATGATAGTAGTGGTGATTGACCATAACCCAAGATGGACAGATGCTCAGAGGAAAAGCAAGTAAAAGTTCTGGATGCACAGATTGAAATCATTCCGCCCAAATGGTATTAACAAATTGAATGACTTCACCAGAATGAACGTAAATTAGACCCAATTCCTGATCATACTAAACAAAATTATTCTCTCAATTTAGTGTAAACTCTACAGTTGATTTGTGCCACCAACTCTCGAACTCGAACAACCATATTACTAAGTATTGCTTACGCCTTTGTTAATTATTTTTTCCCGATAATAAATCCTTAAATATTTCAAAATTTATAATTGATCACAATTCATATGTTTAAATATCCCTACTATATGATTTTTCTTTCATTATTGTTTATTAAGTAAAGTTACGCAATTTTGAGAGAATGAAATAACGTACGATTTACTGATTGTCGTAATTAATTAGCATAATTATTTGTTCAATTATGTAAATCGCACTTCACTCGAGTATACCCGATAGACCGGACGCATTTCATAGCGGTCCTAATTTATTTCTTTATTAGTGTTCTTTAAAATTTCCAATTCAACATGTAATTAAGTATGTGAATATCTAGTGTTAAGTAGTTTAATAGTAGTGTTAGTTGTTTTTTTTTTCTCTTTTTCCCTTTTTCCTTTGTTTTTATGACTTTTTTCTTTGTCCTGAGGAAGGGACAGGGCGTCCCGATAATTTGACAATTTTTATTGTTCGTGTTGTTGTTCATTTTTAGTGCTTTATATATATATATATATATACTCAACAAGATACTAAAAAATTAAGATTATTCTCTCAATTTAGTGTTAACTCTACAGTAAATTTGCGTCACCAACTCTCGAACAACCAACATATCTATGAAATGCTTTTGCCTTTGTGAATTGGTTTTTCCCAATAAAAAGTCCTAGAATATTTCAAAAAGTATAATAGATCATAATTCCTATTTTAAAATATATCTGTTATATTATTTTTCTCTGATTATTTTTATCAAGGAAAGTTACGCCATGTTGAGAGAATGAAACTATGTACGATTTACTGATCGTCGTAATTAATTAGCATAATTAATTCGTTCAATTATGTAAATCGCACTTCACCTGAGTATACCCGATAGACTGGACATATTTCATTGCGGTTCGGAATTCTTTCTTTAAAAATGTTCTAAAAAATTTCCAATACATTCTATTTCAACTATGGAAGAGTTATACAGTGTAGTTCTTCATGCGCTCTTTTGTGAAAAAGTCGGAGACTGTTCAAATCTCGCGGGATTAATGTAAAACAATGTAAACAACACGTTGAATGTCGATGAACAAATCCCAACAAAATTTGTTGTGGATTTCATTCAAATCAAGAGTAGAGATGACGAGGATATTAATTTAACTTATCGTAATGGTACATTTAAAGTCAATACACATACCTCGGAAATGTCGTTTTAATAATAATGGACGATAAAGTTATGGTTTTCGCTCTTTTTTCATATGTCTTTTAGTTCTATTCTTTAGTAAAAATGACAAATGCACTTAACATTTAAAATTGGATTGATACTGGCATGTTTTTGTATTATCCGCAATGCCATGCTGTCCCAGTCAGACGACCAAACGCGCCTCTAATTCTGAAGAGTTCACTAATGGAAATACAACGTATTCAACATGTAACTAAGTTTGAAAATATATAGTGTTTAGTAGTTTAGTAGTGGTGCTAGTTGTTTTTGTTCCTCCTTTTCCTTTGTTCTTATGACTTTTTAACTTTATTCTTTGTCCTGAGAAAGGGACAAGGGGTCCCGAAAATTTGACAATTTTTTTTTGTTCGTGTATATGAATATCGTCTGGCGCATTCAAAATTGAACGTAATAGGTGCGTATAGAAGTGTCAGCGTGATCATTAATTAGCGCTACACACCTCCGCTCAGTGGATTGTATAAATTATGTAACTCGATGTAGCGGTATACATGAATTAACGCATTGTTATATGCACAAAAGCCGATAAAATATGAAACCCTCTTTTTCAGGCATACATATAGTATAACAGAGAAGAAAGTTATGGTTAAAATGTTATGTGTTTAATGTTATGTTTTTTTTTAGTTTGACCCAAATCATCCCATAAAAAAGGGCGATCCATTTTTTCGCGATGACCCTGAACTGAACGACAAAATGCACTGTGTGGTTTATGTTGCTAATAGTGATGCTCCAGAAGGCTTATTTGCAGATGAAGTGGCATCAAATCAGTTGAAGATGTTGCGTAGCAAACTTGCGAAGTTCGGTAAGTAGAAGATAGTTTTCTCCTTAATCTTTTAAATCTTACAATGAAATATAAGAGAACACGATCGCGAACAGAATATAAACTCATAGTGCATTCTACAAAACAAATCCGGAACAAAGCAATCACGGACCTCCAAAACATCAAAAGTGTTGCCATGGAGGAGTGAGCTTCCCCCTGAGACCATTTGCACCCGCTATGTGCTGAACTTAAAAGAACAAAACATTGGTCGACAATGATTGTAAATGATCGCAAAACAATTCTTACGTAAATTTCATTTTACTCAATGATAAATTGATCATCTACGAGTATTTGCTGAAACATCATTGTATCGATCATAAAAAGTTATGGAAAAATGACTTTAAACTCAACTTCTGACATACTTGTTTCATCAACTTGTTTGACCAAGTTTTCATGTTTACCGGAATATATTCTGTCGACATAAAAATTACCATTACTAATCGGAAACACGTTGTCTAGATCAGAAAGTAAGAGCTCGATTTCACTTTTGTGAAATATATATGCTTACAAAAAAGTTACTCATGAATAGTTCAAGGAAGAATGCGACACATAAATGTTAATATAAACAATGTGTACATCATCATCTTTTTTTTAAATCAGAGAAGTAAAAAAAAAGATAAGCACATCAGTAAAAACTAGGGATGTAAACGAGTACCTGGTTAACCAGATACTCAATCGAAAGTCCGACTATCGAATACTAAAGTCAGTACTCAGTTACTGGGATGTATATTCTTAAATATTTCTAATCTTCTTAATTAATGCATTAAAAATATGTTTTAAAACGTAAAATCCTCATTAGAATTGTACATACAGTTATAAGAATAATGACCGTTATTGACAGTGGCAGCGTTCATACAGTACAGTAATTATCGTGACCAAGCACCTGGGGTAACTTCGGCTGTCACTTAATCTTATTTTTTGTTTGTCATTAATCTTATTGTTTTCACTGAACATCGTTTAAGGTCCTTTATGTTTAAATAAATAAAATCATTTTGTCAATGTTTAGATAAATTAGATAATTTTGACAATTCTCCGAGAAGCCGTAAATTTTCGGGAAAAGAGCGGATGATATTCTATGTGCGATTGTTGACATTATGTGTTTGATTACATAGCAGCTGGAAAAAGGCTGTCCGAAAATTACCAAATTGTTCAGACTCTGATAACTTTTTCGAACTACCTAGATATGATGTCATAATAGAATATGACGTCAAGTCACTGCATACTTGAGCTGACATGACGGGGAAAGTGTCATAATTTTTACATGCATGTAGATTAAATTTGGGGCTTTGATGTTCAATTCAAGTGTTAGGGTTGTTTTTTAAGCTCAAATATCCTGTTATGATGTTGAACATTTGAAAGTGAAATATCCATATTACTTTCGTACAAATGTACATGTATGTCGGATATGCATATATTTTAAAATAGAGAAAAACTATGTGTTAAACGCCCCCAAACACGTCCGTAGTCAATGTTAGAATTTTTAAATATCCATTCTCTGTAACCACTTAAACTTCGCTGCCACGCATGGTCACCGATATTGATGCAACTTTTTGATGAAAATTTTGTTGCTATGCGTCTCAGTTGTTAAGACAACAGCCGAAAAATTTGAAAAATCGAGATTTTCAGCCACTTTAAATCGTGACTGTGGCTTGATAAATACTAGTAAAAGAAATCAAACCATTCTCACAAAAAATGACACGTTGATGTCACTAATACTGTAAAGAAACTGTTTAGAATATATCTCTAAGAAAGTGGTAACCAAGGGTACATTTGGGATACATTTAAAGTGCTGAAATATGCTAAAAACATTCTGTATTCACTAATGGTAGGTGTTACATGCTCAAACTCAATCAACGAAAAACGTCAGTGAAAATGTTTGACATTAAGTATATAGGGTAGGGTGGTGTAATTTCGACCGATTATTTTTTTTGTTCTTAAGATTTGTTAAAGTATGTCACTGTTATGTTATGCTACAACTTTAACTGGATTCTTTTACTTTCGAAATACCCTTTATCTTTCATATTACATCGATTTTGTATATATCATTATTGGTCATTATATGAAATAAATGCGTTCGATTTACAAGATACGTGTGTTGGGTAATTTCGACCGCACACTGGGTATTTTCGACCGATAAACCAATACAAAGGAAGTAAGTAGCGTCAGCTCTAATATAGTTTTAAAAAATATTAATCTAAACTTTACTGCTGTACAGCATAAAAGATCGAGTAAAAATACTGACCAAAAAATAGAAAATTTTCTAAATGTACCTAATTCAAAGACATCGAGTCCACCAGATGTTTATGACGCCGATTTGCCATTATTAGTTAAGATTTCCTACAAATATACATATACAGGCATCTAAACCGCATGTAAATAAAACAATTTTTTTTTCACTATTGCAGTAATACTTTCTAACAGGTACATGTATTAATGTACAAAATTTTTATCCTAATATTTTTTTTGCGGACGGTCATGAATTCTTTCTGGTGACAGATAATAAATTGCGTCATTGCAGCCCGGAGGACCGGGCTGCTCTATACATATAAGTTTAAGTGTTGGTGTATGGTGGTTGGGGTGGGAGAAGTTATTCAGAATTAAAGGTTTTCTAAACATTGAAAAGATTGTTAATCAGAATGTTCTTTCCCTTTCTGAATTACGAGATACATAATATATTAACTTCCATAAAGTGAATCTGTAAAAATGTATATGTTTTACATATTTGATATATAAAGTTGCTTATCGTTTACAGTTTTATATTCTACAATTAAAAATTAATACATTTTTGAATATAGGTGATGCATGTATCTAACTTCAATTTATATTTTAATCAGCCAACATTTACATGAGGAATTGATCAAGTTTAAAATGATATCGTTTTTTTGTTTGATTTTTATCCGACTATAAGTTTTCAAAGTATTTGCGACTATCGTCGCCATCAATTAGACGCTTGCCTTTTAACACATATCAAAGCGGTTTGAGGATCAAGACTCGTTTCCATTGTTTACTTCATATATTTTCCGGGCGACAATTGATGGTTACATCAATGTTTGTTTTACATTGGTCGAAGTTTCTCACTGACGCCCGTCGTATTCATGTAGGGGTAACTTCGGCCGGTTTCTGTTCAGCTGGTTTGCAATTAATTCATGAAAAGTAAATACTATTAATTAAAAGGAAATAAATTTCATTTCTAAAATAATATTTCATAAATTTCACGTCAGGAATTTCCATTGATTGTCTTTCCATGCAAGGTTTTTTTAGGTGATAGTTCGCTGTACTGGCAAAAACATACTCGTCTGTAAATGTTTGGTTTGTAAAGCCTATTCTTTTATGTTTTTTTTCCAAAAACGATCTTAATAACAATCATGGAAATAAAATTATTTTGAAAACAATATATTAAGAATAAGATTTCTTTCAGCAAAATATAAATGTACATACACAATTATACACCATAGACAAAATATATTAAGGTATTTATGAACGGTCGAAATTAACCAGGTGGTCGAAATTACACCACCCTATAAATAACTTTTATGGTTGCCATGGTAACAGAGTGTAACAATGCAAAACCAGTTACTAAGATTGGGTTAATGCTACTGTCTTAAGTTAAAACATGAAAATTCAAGACTGGCAAATATGCATCCTTAGGACCTTGCAACACCAACAACAAAACAAAAATTAAGTATAATTGCTACTTTGTAGTGTTACCATTGAAACAAAGTACCAATGCTTAAAAGTGAATTATTTTTCACTGCATAAAGAATTGAATTGCCATTTAATCATGATACGAATTAAAGGACTCAGCTTGAATAGTACTTATCTGTTAGAACTGAAGTTGAATATCATATTTTGATAAAATTTGATGAATAAAACAACACTGTTGCTATGGTAACCAAGAAGGTAAAATGTTCAATTTCGTGAACTCTATATCAATATTAAACCTCTATTAAACCTAGAGCATGCTCTACGTAGGAACAACTTCTTAAACGAGGTGAATTATTGACAAGCAAATTGATAAAACAAGAATATCAACAGTCTCGCTTAAAGTCATCATTTTGTAAATTCTTTGGTCGATACAATGACCTTGTCAGCAAATATAATTGAGTCATTGAGTCATATGCTGACTGACGTTTTTCATTCCAATTGTTACGCAGCACAGTTAAGGTACGCAATAGAAATATCAACTAAGTTTTGTATTTAAAAATGTATTCTTAATCGGGATGGCGATTATTATTAGTACATTATTTATATCAGATAATTGTAATTATGATTCATTACTTCATATCGAGGACGATTATATTTTATATTTAGACTAGTCACGTGATGCGGCAGTCACGCGATTTTAGCAAATTGACTTGAAGTTTTGATGTTACATATAAATGTCACTAGTGCAAGGGCATAACCAAGATAAATTTCCAAGTTTAGTTAATAAATATTTTCAACATGCATTATAGTTTCTAAAAAGTGCTGCGATCCTGTCTAAATTCTGCAATTTAGTTGTTAAAATTATATATTTGTATGACCGAATGCTATATTTTTTGCTGGTCAGCGGCATGAAATATTGATATAATTAAATTGTTTATATAAGATTTCATCAGAATCGCAGCACTTTTCAGATACCTGAATAGATCTATAGTTGAAATATAAAAGCTTACTTTGATCCATAGAGTGTATGCCCTTGCACTAGATCGATTTATTAAGACCCCCCACATTACCCTCCGATGTACTTGCACAGAAATATGCGACAGTGTCAATTAAATACGTAATGTACAGAAAATATATTAATAAAATAGTGAAGAAGACATTAAATTCAAGTTATTGCCCCATAGAATATCTGTAAATAATATTTTATTTAATTAGAGAATGCATATTTTGTTGAGAAAATATTACTTGATCTGTCTCTCACTGCATACAAACTACGTCACGTTGTAAGAAATGACGTCATATTGACAAGGGTATTGCGATCAGTGACTTGTTTATAA